CGTGCATCCGTTCACTTCATACATAGAATAAGTAACTGAATAAAATAAGAATTGCTGGTAATAGATACATTTGCATTGATATATCGGTTTACCAAAACTTACTTTCCAATGTGAACGCAGCATACATTGCCCGGACTAGCGTATCCTGTCTATCAGTGTCTGTGATTGAAGCTAGCAATGTAAATATTTACGTTTTATTAGAATATCATGTACTTTTTAGAATAAATACGGTAATTTAACCAAAATTTTGTTTTAAATGCGAGCTATTCTTGATTTTTAATGTAAACAAAATAGCATTGTCGCTTTTAAATAATTCCGATAGAAAACCTAATTAACCCACGTTTTGACCTCTTGTTTCCAAAAACAAAATAGGAAACTTACCGGAAAAGGGAAATATCATTTTACCATAGTATAGTAACTAGTTGTACTGCATAAGAAATTTTGCGAACTGTGAGCTCCCTTTAGTCAAACATCAGGATATACACTAGTAAGTTCAGAACCAGTTTAATATTATATAGAATGTAGTAATCATGCCTGATAAAAATGTCGTTGGGAGTATAGATAGTTAGGGTAGATAATTCGCTCGTGATTAAGTCACATGTTAGATTGAACACGCACAAATTAATGTTATTGTACAACAATAGTATCAATAGTTATATTCTTCACAAGTATTCAATTATTTATTTAGTATAGAGTCTTTTTTTTGTAACGTGAAGATTACCTGACACAAGATTACATATCTATCTAGAACCTTTAATTATAATTACATTGGATCTCCACTCCAGGGGACTCTTATTCTCAGTCGTTCTGTCTGTCTATCTGTGTGTTCAAGCTGTAGCGTTTAAACCGCTGGGTCTATCTGTACGAAACTTCTCCCGTGCGTTATCCTGTTATCCAAGTTATGTGCGTTTCATTGAAAGTCCGGATTGTAGTTTCGTTTCCAAGACAACAGGCAAAAACACGAAGTTCGTCACAATTTATCGCCATTTTCTCATCAACTAAGTCGAAATTTGAAATTTAAACAACTTTTCCCTCCGCAAAAACAACACCACTCTTTCTAACAAGTCGTCTTTCATCTCGGTAAATTGAAGTTATAGCCAAGAACGTAAATTCTGGCTAATGTTTGTTGGTTTGTTAGAGACGAATACCACTCTAACGGCTGCACCGATCCCCAGTTTCAACGACACACGTTAACGATGCAAAGTCTTTATTGTCGAATAGGATATGATCCGAATAGGATATGATCCAAAATAGGATAATTAAAACAGTGAATAGTGATCTTATATAGAAAATAAGCATGTACGGAAATGTCCTAATCAAGTGTGTAACAAAGATGAATTATATTAAAACTGATTTGTCATTGTGATATGGCTTGGGGCTATTTAAATTAATGGGGCTCCCGAAGTATGCGAACCAAGATGGCGGACATCGGAATGTAATATGTGTACTAGGTTAGGGTTAGGCCATAATTTTAGGTATAAATACTACGGGAGGCTCTTGTCTAGTCTTCGAACTGATAATAGGACTAAAATAAGGAAAATTGGAAAAAAATTATCGCCTAACCCTAACCTGTTACCCATGTTACGTTCCGATGTCCGCCATCTTGGTTCGCATACTTCGGGAGCACCAAATTAATTATGTCCAGTTACAGAACTTGTTTTGGAGGTCTCTAATTTTAAGAAATTCTGAATTATCTAGTTTTACGACGATTCATATTATTAATTTAGAAAATAACAGTAAAATCTAACTAAAATAACAAGATTATTCCTACAAAATCCTCGCGGCAAAGTATGTGGAATATACAAACAAAAAGTATTTGCAACGCTAAAAATAAATTTATGATTAAACAAGATTATATGTGGTACAATTAAAAATATGGGACGTGGAAATAGAAGAAAGAGTGAGAGTTAGGTAGAGTTTATTTAGAACAGGCGTATTCTTATTTTGAAATTTTTTATCGACAGCTAAAACAATTTTCAATTCAATATACTTCATAACACTCAATAACTTTTATGCTCGCGAGAGTATAATTATTTAGGCTTCGTTCGCCGGGGAATAACATATGCGCTTTTGAGTAAGTATGCCTCTTTGGGCTTGAGTTAAAGTTTATATAGCGCTTTAGAGAATTAAATTTATTTGCATATACTCGTATTATAACGAATATATTTGCGAGCTCAAAGTGTGATTCGTCCTAATCATCTTTTTTAACAGTGTATTAGTGCCCTGAAATCTATTCAACTGAATTTATTTAATTTAACACCTATTTTCGGTGCACTACTCAATAAACGTTAAAAGTCTTATTTTCAATGATTCCATAATAATTGGAAGTCGAATTGTTTAAACGCCATAGAAACAAAAAAAAAAGGTTTTACCTTAAGAATATAAGAAGATTGTCCCAGAAAAATAAAACCTGTATACGAATGAAAAATAAAACATGATAATTAATAACGTCCATCTCTAAACATTTGTCCGTAATTACTCGTTTCCGTTTTATTGCATTCAGCGATAACGCGCGATCTTTGCAGTTCATTTCTTTAAACAGTTCATTGTTGTTCGTTTGCCGTTCATCGTTAATACTATTAATTGTCAGTTTGTTTTATTTTCACCTCGGAATACGTTATATGGTATTCAGTAAATAGTTCATTTCGTCAGTCCTTATTTTTGTCCAATATTCATAGTTTGTTCGTTTCCTGTCCGTCAGTATAATTGTCGTTCGGTCGTTAATTGTTGATTTATTGAAGTCGCATGTTGTGTCTCAATTCGCAGCAGCAGTGACTGTAAAAAATGGAACGATTAATTATAGCAATAGCTCCCTGCGCCTAGGTTAGAAAAAACTCGTGAAGTACTTAACTTAGTTCGTTCCTCCGCCAATGTTGTTGTAGATCTCCGTTTGCAACAGTATCGAATCTGATTCCTCTCAGGAGGCACAATCCTTAGTCGGGATGTCACCAATATAGCCAAGAACGTATATTCTGACTAATGTTTGTTGGTTTGTTAGAAACGAATACCACTATAACGGCTGCACCGATCCCCAGTTTCTACGACACACGTTAACGATGCAAAGTCTTTATTGTCGAAAAGATATGATCCGAATAGGATATGATCCAAAATAGGATATGATCCAAAATAGGATATGATCCAAAATAGGATATGATCCAAAATAGGATATGATCCAAAATAGGATAATTAAAACAGTGAATAGAGATCTTTATAGAAAATAATCATGTACGGAAATGTCCTAATCAAGTGTGTAACAAAATGCCGAAAATGGTATTAAATCACAAACTAATATTCCGAAGATGCCTAGTAGGCGAAGCGTTCAGAATGAATTGGAAGTTTCGATAAGCTGATCAAAGCAGTGCGCTAACTGTAGGTCTGCAATTCTGCATAGATAGTGACAGATTGCGGTTTGGATTATAATAGTAATCAGCAACTTTTAAGAAATTGCCCGTTTGGCTGCACTTCAAAATTGCGAGGCGAATTGTATTTGTCGATTAGGTCGGACAAGCGACGAATAGACTGCCAGTGTCTTATTTTGATTACCGGTATTAGCTAAAGTATATCACTCACGCAAGAATGTATAGAAAACGCGCAGCGTTTAAATGACCTGGCAGTTTCGGTAACCCGCTCACTAACTCACGATGCCGTTAAAAATCCTCAAGTTCCTATGAATGGTGACCGGTTGCTTGAGTATGTGCCTTAACTACCAGTAGGAATCCTGTGCGCCTACCGGCTTGTATACCTATATGCGTGAGTACTATTATGGAGAATGATCAATCCCAACGTTTTTTTTCAAAATTCTCTATTACTCAATAATATCCGTGTTGTAAACAGCTGCAGGTGATCTATATTCTATAAAGACCGGAAGAGATATTGTCTTGTCCACCTAAGTTGTATTTTTGAGCATTGAAAACACTTTTTCTGAACACACACACTAACAGTTTGATCAAGATGATTGAAAATGACCTATTTGATAAAGTCGCCTCTAGCACATTTCCTATGGATAAAATTTATGACCTCGCCTAAAAATTAACTTTGTGATATCTGCACATATTCGCGCCACGAGCCTGCGACTTGGATGTCATGCGACAATCATTATAGCCGATTTTCCTTACAATTTCTGTGTTTATATGTTTCTTTTCATTTCTGAAATGTGTCTTTAATCTCAAATTGGCCAATCAATTGATGACACAACACTCGAAATTGAGCGCTATAATTTTAATTAAAAGATTCTACATCTGTCTGCACAGAATTGGCGTCTGATTGCGTTACCCGATTGTATACTATAGCCGACGAATTAAATTAGTAAAGGAAGAACTTGTTGACACTTTGTATAGTGGTATGGCAGTGAGTCGCGCACAGTTTGGTCATGTAACCTCCTAGACAGCAATCAGCCAAAAATTGGAATTATTAAAGCATGTAACTACAAATGCAACCTAATGCTTTGTTGTAAATGTTGCCATCAGCAAGTCCAAAGGTGACTTTTGTTGCTTGTTTGGCATGAAACATTAAAATCTCCAACTCGTCAAAAAGTTATGCTCACCAGCTTTCCGCTTCAGTAATAATAGAATAACCAGCTGACGCCAAATATCTGAGACAAAGAGAACATCATCACGCCGATTCAGTTCTCTATAACCATATTACTCAGAAGTCAGAACACAACGTTTACCAGTGCAGCTATGTCGCGACGCGTGCTGACAACCAGTTAGTTTATGAAGGTAACCAAACACTATTGTTCCTATCATGGAAAACTAGGTTTATGATCTCTAGCTTTTCACCAATTCGATTGTAAATAACAGGTGGTGTCGAGCACCTACTCTGACATTATATATATTGAAGAGGACTTACTTTATGATCTAATTCTAGCCATTCACATAAAAATCGACTGGTGCATAGTAGCGCACTTTAAAGTCAGAAGATAGTTAATGTCAGTGTGACGCCTTTTATATGAATATCAGTTTTACATAGTCAATAAGGATATGCTTAATAAAATGTAAAAAATAACTTTCTGTCAGAAATCATTCTACATTTTTTAGTGAAAATAAATCTGCATATTAAAAGTTTGTTGAAAACGATCTCGTAACTTAAATTAATTTATCAAGTCTGCAATCAATTTTACGAGTATGAGCGCTGTTGAAGTTAATGAAATTGCTACATCGACGTCGTTCACGCATCGAAAACGTACTTTTTATGCATGTGCGTTTGGTTTCTCTGTATACGTTGGTTCAACATTTAGTGAGTAATCGTTTTTATTATTGATATGATTAGTCGATATACATTAGATTACTCTACCAAAACAGCAGAAGTATGCATTTTCTATATAACAGAAACTTGATATTATGATCAAATCGAAGTGGGTAAATAGTATTTCATATACCATGGTCTTTTATAGTAATATGATGCTTATGCTTTTGTTGAATTACCTTGCCAGTCAAAAATTTCTTGGTTATGTACGACGTGTGTTATGTGGAAAACTGTTTTCGATCCGAAAGATTTTAGAAAAGTTCATGACAAATACGTCCCATTCTCACATAGCGAATATATAACGTGTCAGGAGTATAGTTACTGGAGTAGAACTATTTCTAGACTGAATATGTGCCCTAACGTGATTTTCACATTTCATGTTAAAATGTTATAAAACTTGAACAAAGAAAAATAGGTAGTTCGTGTCCCTACATATATCTTGAATATACGATTATTGGTTTACAATTATTCATAGCACAACGGATTTGTATCTCATGATACACTTTCTCTTCTCTCAATTGAATGGGTATAGTCTTTCGCTACTGATCATGGAATTCATCACGTTTACATTCGTTTCAACACTCGTTTACCATATGTCGTCTGTGGAACTTGTAAATATTATTTCTCTTTTCAAGCGCATGAGTTGTTTGCTTTAAATTTTGACATATTTCAACGCCAAGACTGAAACACTTTCATACAACTAAGCGTTACACTGTTGTACATCATTTGACAGTCTATTAGTTGTATGATACTACTTTCTGAGATAAAAATGATAGAATTTGTCAATAGTATAGTCGTTCTTCGATAAACCTATTTAACTGACCTAAAGTTTTAAAGTTCGATGGATAGTACGAACTCGGCACGTTCACTGTATTTTCTGAAGCCTAGTTTCGACTACTGATGTTTAATTTTAATAATTTCTGGAGATGAGTGTTTACAATTACTGAGATTAAATTTGACCTAGGTTATCCTTGTTTGATTTACTACAAAAAATGAGCTATACACTTGGATTAACTTTAAATTGTCATTAAGACTGATTAACCCCTTTATAACCTACTTTTCAGTGAAGTGGTCGTGAAACTTTATAACAAATCAAGAACTCTGACGAGATGATTTCATTCTATCTTGCGTCAGTTCTATTATATATATATATATATACATATATGTTATTTGTCAGGTTTGGCGACACTTCAGAGCAGTATCAATATCAAGAATGATCTCGGACCAAAAAGTCTCCTGATTTGTTTTTTGTGTGGCTTAGCCGGTATCATAACAGCGCCCTATACTTTGAAAAGGTTTGGTGCAAAAGCAACGTTAATTACTGGGGAAATCATAGCATCATTCTATACGATAGCGAACTTTTATCCAAGTAAGATTAATTTTTAACGACAAAGTATTTTCTAATTAAGAGACTCTTACGTGCTACAACATATTTAAATCAATAATGAAACTGTTTCTGGTCGTTCTAATTTAACTAATTCAAACTTGCTGTTCAAAATGCAAAAACTTTCAACTTCTTTTTATCTTATTCTGTATCGTAGATGTGGTAGATGTGGTCGCTAGATATGTGGTAAACCCATGTCAGTATTGGCGCCGAAACAATTCCACAAATATAAATTGTACTTTAATTCCAGGATGGTTTACCATGTATCCGACAGCAGCTTTAACAGGATTGACGTCATCATCGTTCACATGGTCGGCAAGTGCAGTAATTGTTCACAAAGTGGCTACTGCTGATCTGAAGAATAAAATTGGAAAACAAGCTGATATTGCCACTCAAAAGTATTTTGGAATATATTTAGGAATTGTCGCGTTTGGCCAGGTGAGTTGTTCATATTTAGGGACAGGTGAGGCCGCAGTTCTGATTGCTCTAAATATGTCATATTTCAATATTCTCAAATAAATTGTGCTCAATAGCTACGAACATATAATGTATATATATACTCTACTACCTAGGAAATTTTTCGCGCTCCTGAATTATATGTACCAAGATGACGCACAACCTGATACCTCATCTGGTACACATACTATGTTCAGGTTGTGCGCCATCTTGGTAGACATACTTCTGGAGCACCCAATTTTTTAAGTTTGCAATTCAAATTTAACACATGTAAAATATTGTCATGTCTCTAATAAATTGCATTTGAATAATACCAATTACCAAATGTTAGGAATGTATATGATATGAATTCATCTAAAGTTCTAAACCTACGTTTGCAATCGCAAAACATGTTCTTTGTCGGCCATGGTTGCCAAGTCATAGATGTTCAAACATTGTTTATAATCTTTAGAAGTTTTTGCAAATCTGCCATTTCATCAGCACTAGAATATTTGTATAATATTCCTATTTTCAGATTTTTTCTAATGGTGTCACCGTTCTGATTCTTGAATTTGTCAATGACGATTTATTAGGACTTAATCATAAAACAGTGGAAACCGATTTTGACAGTAATTTAACTACACAAGCTCCACAATACAAAACTACTAATTCGTCAGTTATTGATATTTCTCAATGTGCGGCAAGAGATTGTCCGGTTAGTATATTAATTAATTGAAATTAATCTATTTCGATTTTGATTATTAGTTATTATCAGGAACTTTTTCTACTCTGCTTTCAGGCTGAATATGCATACAGTAATTCTACCAAACTCGATGTATTCATACCAGACGATTCTTCTAGATACGTACTGTTGGGCTGGTATCTACTCATGCAACTAGGAGCCGTCTTACTGCATTCAATAGCGATGGATTCAATCCCAGTTGATAATTATAGAAAGAATATAATCGGTAAGAATCAAAATTGATGGCTGTCTGTAACCCCAGCCAAAGTATATTTCCGATTATTTGGTGTGTATGTTTCATAATAATTGTAATATGGATACGATGACAGTCATGGTTGGTAATACCTAATGTTTGATGTTGTGTGATTTCAGTATTGAATTTTTGTTTCATTTCGTTTTATAATTGCATTTGTTAATGCAACTGTTCTCATTATACCAATATATATTTAGGAATGCAACTATTAACTGAGTTCTACATGGTTTGTAAATAGAATTCTTTCTACATACAGCCAACAAAAATGAAGAAGAGTCTCCCACTAGAAAACCATTACTGGACAAACCAAAAGAAGAAAATGACTGCTCTGCTTTATTCGCGCCAATAAAAATATCCATTCTGCATTTAACGTCTCTGCAAGGAATACTTTCTGCGCCGGTTTATCTGTTATATGGATTAACGATTTCATTTATTTGGTCAGAGTTTAGTCGTGCCTACGTTTCGTGTGTGGTTGGGATAAGCCAGGTTTGTTTGTTTAGAAAAATATCATGATATCATAACATTTTTCTCAGAAAATCTAGTAATGATTTACTGGCTTTGAAGTGACTCATACATTTATACGACAAATGTTTGCAAGATAACCCCTAGCCTCCAAATGAAATGTCAAATATACGGTATTTAAATAACAAACTTACTATCAAATGAGGAAGAGAAACCATGCTCTTAAAAAAATATTTCGCTTGCACAACTACAAATGTTGATATGTTTGCATATTTTATTACTGCTTATTAGTGTTTAGAGCTCAATAGAAGTTAAGTTTTCGACGTACACTTATTTCGATATAAAATAAAATAATCTTATTACACTTGTATTGAAGTTACACCCGGTACAAGGCACTTCTAAATGTTCGATATACATTTCACACTTCAACCCATAAGGCGTCAAATAGTAATGAGATGTCTTTTTATATTTCAGGTTGGACTAACAAGTGCGCTGGTCGACTTGCTATCACTTACTGTGTCTATGATAATATCAAGATGTGCCTCAAACTTTGGAATGTTTTACATTTTCATCTTTGGTATGTGTTACGACATTGCATTGTACGTTGCTACTCTGTTATGGGTTCCAACACCTTCCACTTCATATCTTGTCTACATTTTTGCTTCACTTTTCGGAGTCACTCATGCAGTCAGAAGGAATACACAATATCGTAAGTTTTTTTTACTCATGGTATTTTTGGTATTACCTTATAAATATAAATTTCAGCTCCTGAAACAGTTCGAAGCATTGCTGTTGTTGTAATCTTTCATTTGTACCCTGAAAAATGTAAGTGCGCCAGATGTAACACATGTAATGGGGATAAATACATGTGATATTTTGACTTGAATACAAAAGATATTACAAAATTATTTTCTTTACGTGGGTTTGTAGTACCTGTTAATCTGTTTTTGAAAATGTTTCTCACCGGCGAGATCTGTTTTTGAAAATATTTCCCACCGGCGAACTCCAAACAGGCCCTTTAGATAGGCCTTTGCTAGTGGTCAAAAATAACACCAGTTTGTCAGCATTTCCCTAGATATGGAATTTCAAATAAACACCCTTTCTGGCATTATTAGAATTATATGATTTGAATTTTTTAGCAATACCAATCGGTAGGTTTACGAGTTACATTGAAATTCACGAAACATCTCGAAATCCTGCAATTTTGAAATAGAGTTTCCGTCATTCCAACAATATATATATATGATTTCTTGTCTCGGTTCAGATTTTATAGAGTTACCTATTCAGCCTTATTTGCCAAAATAATGGTGAACTCCAAGCAAGTTTATTTAATTAGCCCGCAGGATTGATAATTAAATTATAATTTCTCAATTCCACAGTTGCTGTAAGATTGAACAAGGCAACTTTCCAACCGTTGAGGTTTTGTTGGGCCCCGATACCATATTTAACGAGCCATCAAACCCTAATTTATTTTATGGGACCGAGCATTACGGTTGTCAGTACTTTGACAGGTTCATTTTATGAAAAAATACATAGACCTATATATCGCCGAATCTTTACAATTTTTTGTGTTTCAGTAACAACATCCGCTCTATGTCCAGATAAAGATGTAGGGTTCACGATACAGAATGTCCTTGGCGGAATAGGCCTGATGATGACTTATGCTTGGACAACTGCTTTCTGCGTTTATGTTAAAATATATATTATGATAGGATCAGTGGTTGTCACAACAGTACTTTGGGTATTTTCCAATAGAATACACCACAAAAAGAAATTAACGGATAATTCAAAAAATCAGTCTTAGCCATATATAATATTCGTTGTTTCCTATTTTAATAAACCGAGTATGTATATATATATCCTAATTTCGGTGTTTGCGTGCTTGCTATATGAAGAGTTTTCAAGAGTTTTCACTGAGAAATGATCTAGATATCAACTTCACTGCGATTGTTTAATCTGGTTCTTCAGAGTCGTCGATGGGTGTTGCATGTTGTGCCTCTTAGGATTTCCATATTTATCTTGAGTTAAAGTAAATTCAGAGAGTGCTTGAACACATAACGGATAGCCTATGAGGGATATATAAATATTACAATGTGGGAAATGAGCTGTTAACCGATTTGTTATCGCTCGAGATGCCTGGAGTTGGTTGTCAGATGACGTTCTTGTTGATGACATTTATATGTTAGAATATTTTCTAGATTATTTTGACTATTGTTATTTTGCATTGTTCTCTAGTGGCAAAGAGGTGAAGTGCAACAGTCTGACAGTATATTTGAGGAGACATGATAAAATATTGGCAAGTATTGCCATGCTCTGATGGTAGCGTGGAGTGAATGCTGTTGTTATGCTAAAAGATGAAATCAGGAAATACTGTCTGACTGTTGTTAACTAATTTTACCCCTAGATGCTGGAATAGGCAGTATATGATACTTCTATAACTATTCTAGATTATTTAAATCGAATCCAGAAGACCGAATCCTATTCTATATTTTATCGGGAGTGCAAAATAAATGTAACAGAACGCATTGTCTTGCGATATGACTTTGTATTTTCAAAAACGGCGTGTTCTAAAAATAAAATTTATTCAATATTAATCGCAAATAATATATTAAAATCTGATATACACATCCGTTTCCTAAAGAATACAGAAGGACACGAAAAGCCATCTAATTTAAACTGAAGAATGTTTCACGTAGGATGTAAATATTGTTTCCTTGCAATATTCAATGTTGTGTATTTGATATTCGGAGATTGTATAGAGAGAAAATTACATCCATAGCTATTGTTTAATTGTTCACTAACGTTCAAGCCTCCACTTAGGAACAGAAGCTATAAGTTGGCAATAATTTAATTGAAAAATACATGCACACAGTTCAGGAGGCAACAAGCTTTCAATTTTTCTCACGATAAATACTTAAGTTACCCTATTTATGTTCCATAAGACGTATTTATGTTAGTAATTATTTTCCTTTATATTGCAATTTTCGTTTTTTCAGTGAAGTAATGAAACAGTGTCTTAATGTACTCTCTTCACAAATATTTCACGCTGGTAACTAACTTTTTGGTATAAATTTCCGGATATAGCAATTAATATGATGGCGAGATATTGAGATTGAGACAGTATTATCATGCATGTCCTGAATGTTCTGTCGATTCATTCCAGTCTAGTAAAAACTTAAATCCCACACAAAATGACACCGATTATTTCAGAATTTCAGGAAAAGGGTCGTCAAATGTTTTTTGGCTTCACTTTAGTTCAATCCTCTAGTTCAGGGTGGTCCAAGGTTGACGGCTTCGCGGGCCACACTATTATTTTCGTATTGTTCGCGGGCCACAATAGTGCAAAGAGTGGGCTATACGAAACAAACACTTTTGTTGTCCAAACACATTGATCATTATTTGTCATTTATCAAGCTAAAACATGCCAAAATCACCAAAAAACTCATTAAAACGTGCAAAATTTTACTATATCTACATTTAGTGTAAGATTTCAAACTCTTCATAACGGAGAAAGTTTCGTTTTAGATTGTCACCGACACGACTTGCAGACATAGTAAGCAAGCATTGTAGTATTTCCCTCCCATATCCAGTCAAACATCTGTTCGAATTGGTCAGCTTTCTTTTCAAACTCATGTTTACAAAATAACTTCAGATTAATTGATTACCGAGGTTCACCAAATTTGAGACACAGGAGGGTAATAGCATTTTTTCATGTTTATGCTGGTTGCAAAAAGCACCCGGCAGGAATTATATTGTTCGACCATTACATCAATATTTAGTTATCAGGCATAGCCAATCTAGGCTAATTGATAGATTCCTCATTCGATTTATAGTTTTCTATTAAGCCTATTTTGTTATCATATATTCCCGACCAAAATAATAGAAAACCAGTTAACAATTTAGACTAGCCAAACACATTATTCAACTCAGCTAGCCTTAACATTTATCAATTCAGTGACATTCATTAGTGATGTAGCAATATGTCAAAAGATTTTTCTGGTTATTTTCATGTCAAAACAACACCAAATGCGATTTTTCGTTTACCCTCGCGCAAATGTGACGCGGGGCACAGATAATGAAGCGACGGGCCACATGTGACCCGCGGGACTGGGTTTGGACCACCCTGCTCTAGTTCAAGATAAATTTCAAGACTGCAGCTGGTTATCCCCAAAGTTTTCGACAATTCTTATGTTTTCGGCTTTTTTGTTACTATCACATGCACAAATAGTAAATATTTCACAACAATACAAGCACTTTGTGCACCTACAGCAAGTTATCGCAATGACCTGATTTTTATTCTAAACCTCGACATCTGATCATTCCATTTTTTATATTAAAATTGGCAAATTGTAATTTAGGCTTTAATATTGCATTATATCAGATTAATATATATGTCTTGCAAAACTTTCGAAATCATAATTAAATTGCATTACAAATATAAATCAGGGTTCGGCGACTGAAGCTTTCACCCAGCAATAATAGCTTCTGATTATTCAATCAAGGTTCGAGATTATGACCAAATTTCGTTCGGCTGATCAGTCTTTTTTCCCTCTTTTTTTCATATTGTGTCATGAAATAATTTTGTTTTACCAGTTTCTTCAAGAAACCAAGAAATATCTCCATAAACAAGTCAAAAGAAAATGTGCACTGGTTGTTCAAGCCATTAAAAATATCCGTTATTTATCTCACGTCATCTGGTCAGTTGTTGAATTGAAGTTGATTGCTTATTGATCACGTCGGTATCAGCAAAATAAAGGGAAAGAGAATTGACCCTATTTGCGCGTTCTTACCCCCGTGTTATTAAATACAAGTTAGCGCAGTAAAATCCCAGCTGACTCCTTCAGAGGTCAGTAAGCACACAATGTATTGTGGGCTAATGGCAAATGTTCGTATATTGAAAAATCCAATCGAATCCAAAAGCAGTACGATTCATAAGAACACGGAAAACACTATATTTCAATTCCTCAACGAAGGCCGGAAACACACGTCATCCAAATTGGTCGATACGAAGAAGGATGTACACAAAAAGCTAAGGCTTGTAGCTGTCTCGATAACTATTAATCAAGGAAGCGACTAGAATAACCAATTTCATTGATGCCTTTCGATGTAAGTATTCGAAGCAGGTAAGTCATAACAATAGTATTAATTCTGATCAGGTTTGCAGCTGGTCTACTCACTGCCGCAAATAGGTCATCGGTAAAGGCGTCGTCTGACATCCAACTCCAAGCATCACGAACGATCACAAATCGACTAACAGTTCATATTTCCAAATTCAACATTTGTACCCGAGCATATATTCATATATCTATCATGGTATATTCGCTGTGTAATTAAACAGTCTCCGAGATACATATGGAAATCCAAAGAGGCACAACACTCGACAGTAACACCCATTGGCGACTCCGAACAACTAGATACAACAATCACTGTAAAGTTGACATCTAGATATTTCCAGTATGACCCAGAGATTTGGCTAATGAAGTTATTTAAATAATCACGTTATATTATCGAAGTTTCTTTATGGATGAGCAAATGCTCGTATTATCAATTTTAAAATTATGGCACAATGTTGTCAATTGATTGATTCTTAATGAAACTCATACCCAAATTCAGACGCGGAACAACAACAGCTTTAAGTCGATCAATATTTTGTAGCGCAATTTTTGGCACCTCGCCTGTCGCGTTTCGTCATTTCTTTTTGATAGAACCCTTTATATCAGACATTGGCAAAGTACGGCCCGCGGGTCAAATCTGGCCTATTGGATAATTTAATCTGGCCCGCTCGATGCTGCCACAATCAAACTGAAATCAAATTTTTATGTTTTAGCTATAAATATCTCAAGGAGTTTGTTAAGATTGCGGTTAAATTAAGTTTTTTGACACGAGGCTTATTGTTTTTCAAATTTGCTTCGTAACAAGGTAAATATTGTTCATAAAATGTAACTTTTTACGTCACACTAACATGGCCCGCCAAATTAGGTGGGCAAAATTTTTTGTCCCTGGTTAAAAAACCTTGCCCATTCTTGCTCTATATGCTTTATATTGTACGCACGCAAACATCGAATTTGGAATATGTATACGTTATTTAATAAAATGATAGGAAACATCAAATGTTTGTGAACCTGTTATGTATGTCTAAGAGTAGTTTTTTGAATCATTCGTTAATTTCATTTTGCGGGGTATTGTACTGGCTATTATCCAAAGTACTGTTGTGACAACCACTGATCCTATCATAATATATATTTTAACATAAACGCAGAAAGCAGTTGTCCAAGCATAAGTCATCATCAGGCCTATACCGCCAAGAACATTCTGTATCGCGAACCCTACATCTTTATCCGGACATAGAGAAGATGTTGTTACTGAAAGACAAAAAAATCGTAATGGTTCGGCGATATATATGTCTATATATATTTGATTTTCATAAAATGAATCTTTGTCAAATTACTGATAATCCTAATTTTTGGTCTCAAAACATAAATAGACATTTGACGGTTCGTCAAATAGGGTTTACAGGCCCAGCAAAAGCCTAACGGTTTGAAGTTGCCAATCTTCCAGCAACTATGAAATCAAGAAGCTATATTTTAATTATCAGCATCGCATTTCCTGAAATTGCTTCGAGTTTCACAGTCACTCAGTTTCTTCCGGCAAATAACTGCTGAACATTCAATTTTTTAGAATATCTGAACTGAAGCAAAAAATGATATATTGTTGCAGTTACGGAATCTTTAACTCAAAATGATTGGATTTTTGAGTGGTTCATAGCCTTTCGTGATTACATTAATATAACACGTGAACCTACTCACTGAAATTGATAAAATTTTGACAACTGGCACCGGTTTAATTTTGAGCACCGTTCCCCAGC